TGGGTTGATCCTTTGTGCTCAGTAAATGTCACTGTAATTAGAACTATCATTATTGCCCAATCTTAGAGATGAGAAACCAAGATTTAGAGAAGGCAAATAAATTACCTAGGGTCTCAAAACTGGAGCCAGAATGCTGCAGACATGAACCTCATACCCTGACATGTCTACAAGACACCCAGCACCGTTGCCCCACTGATGCATCTGCACAAACTGTTCTTTTTAAAGAAGCCAAAACTTAAGGCCTCAGATACATTCAGTCCTGCTCTCAACAGAGAGGATTTGTCAGGGAACCTGTCAACTCCCAGGTATTTGAGTCTCTAGGCTCAAGTCTGATACTCTGTGTTATCTGGGAGGTCTGAGTCCTAAACTGGCTCTACCAGGCTCTGCTTTCCCCTGAGGTGGTACATCAGTCTTTATCTCCTGCCAGCTCTATCCTGGGAAGGTTACTGTACCCTGCCTCTTTGGAGGAGGATTTGAGGAGCCATGCAAGAAGAGTGGAGTGCTCTGTGACCCTGAGGGAGGGAGGAAGGCAGCCTGCTGTCCAGGCTCTGAGTAGGTGGAAACCCTGGCTGGGCAGGGCCCCAGCAGGAAGTGATGACCACACCCTCCTCTTCCGGCCTCAGCCTGCCCAAGCCCCTCCCAGCTGCAAAGGAGTTCTGGAGGAGGAAGCTGGAATGTAGTAGCATCAAGTGCTTTATACTTGAAAGCATTAGGATTTGAGCCCCTCTGGCTTTCATCTGCTCTGTGTGACTTGGAGCCACCCACTAGTCCCTGAACCTCTGTGGTCTCCTCTTGCTTTTTTTTTTTTTTTTAAGTTGTAGATGGACACAATACCTTTATTGTATTTGTTTTTATTTTTATATGGTGCTGGGGATCGAACCCAGTGTCTCACACCTCACACATGCTAGGCAAGCACTCTACCACTGAGCATCAAGGCCCCTCGTCTTGCTTTTGATTATTGAGCAAGTTGAGTAATTATGGGGGCCTTTGTTGGCATTTGCTTTGCCTGAACCAAACTTCAAGAATGTGATCCTAAGGGCTGGGGATATAGCTCAGTTGCCAGAGCACTTGCCTCGAATGCACAAGGCCCTGGGTTAGGGTTGCCTCTTAATGGCTGTGTAGCATGGTGACTTATCACCTCTCACTTAAGTTTCTTCATCTGTAAAATGGGACAAACATTGGCACATAGCATTTAGTTCACTGTCAGATGATCATGTGGGATTGATCATCTGATCAATCCCACATTGCACCTGCATCTTTCCACAAACACTCAGCAAGTTACCCCCACCTTTGGTTTCTGGAGCCCACTGGCCACATTTCTGGGGCAGTGAGTTCCTGTCTCTGAACCACTTTTATTAGTAATATGAGAGTAAATAGCACTTGCCTTCAAGGGGGCAAGTGTGACGAGAAAGAGGCACATATCACTACATAGGGAGTTGTAGGCCACATCCTCACATTGTAGTTCCACCAAAGTATAGGATTTTGAAGAAAAGTTCGGATTTCTGCCTTGTATTGAAAATTTAGGATATCTGATAAATTTATGTCCCCTTTTCACTTTGCTCCAGACTGGCTTTCCTTGTGCCCAGAAAAGATATCTTATTGACCTCTGATCTTAGTTGATCTCCAAGGGACTCTGGAAATTTACTGAGGACTTCCTGGTCATGCCTAGACACAGGGATAAATAAGAGAGTTGTACAGGGGCTGGGGTTTTGGTTTGGAGGTAGAGCACTCGCCTAGCATGCGTGAGGCACTGGATTCGATTCCCAGCACCACATACAAATAAAATAATGTGTCCACCTACAACTAAAAAATAAATGTTAAAAAGAGAGAGAGAGAGAGAGTTGTGCAGGAGAGATGATGGGGAGGAGTTTCCTGGACAAGGATGAGGGGCAAGTACAGAGCCTTTGCTTTGAGTATCCATCACCTAGTATGAGCCAGGCCCTGGACTGGTGTCTGGGCCCTGCTGGGAACAGGCTTCTGTTATTGTGATACAGTGTGACAATTCTGCTGGGAGGAAGCCAGAACAAGCCAGCAGGTTAGGGAAGGCTCAGAAGAGGTAGTCTTTGAGCTGTCCCCAAAGCTTGAACAGGATTTCGCCACAGGTGAGTAGGGGGAGTTGAGGATATATTAGACAAAAATTATGGCACAGTCAGAGGTTGGATCATGGCTGGAAAGTCCCTTTCTGAGGGTGAGAAGTGGTTAAGGTATTGTGTGGGTTTTTTGGCAAAGTCACTTTGCCTTTGTGAGTCTGAAATATTCACCTGTAAAATGAGATTGGGTCACCCCTGTGCTGCCTAACTTCCAGCAAAGGCCGACTGTTGGCACACTTAAAAGGGCTGAATCCTCTCAGCCAGCAAGAGGATTATTAAGACACGCAGTGATTGTGACAGGGCCATGTGCAAATTAAATGGCATGAGGGGAAGGTCAGGTACTAGCCCTGTGTGCATAGATGGAGGTGTTCAGTACAAGCTGGAGATATCACAAGCAGCTTCCTGAAAGAGGTGAGACGAGAGCAGAGCTTCAAAGGGCAAAAAAGAAGAATGGATTGGTAGGGATTCAGAGGGCATCCAAGACAGGTAGGGAAGGCCAGAGGGAAGCCATGGTGTGGGAGAGAGTTGAGGAGAGGTGAGCCCAAAAGGTTTGGACAGCGAGAATTTGTTAAGTACACCCCAAAGACTTAACAATGTGTCGTTGGCAGTAGGAAGTCACTGCAAACTCTGCCCCTGTTGAAGCAAGGGATGCTCTTACAGATGTAGACACCTTTAAATGTGGGGAGGGTTTTCCAACTGCTTTTATATGATGGGGAAAATTAAAAGGTTAAGATTATATGGGCGGTGAAGGAAGAACTGATGATAGGGAGCCAACTGAAGAGATCATCGTGTGAGCTGGGGTGTGTGTAGTGGTCGAGTGCTGGACAAATACAGCATTCCAGGTTACATCTGTAGCACTGTTTCAAGAACTGGGATCTTCTATTGCTTAGAGATCTGCAAATACCCTGCTGGGTACCATCTTTAGGATGTGCATCCACAGTAATACTGATTTGTTGTTGGTCTACTTGATATGTGATAAGCAAGTCTGTTCCCCAAACATCTTTCTGGATTCTTCCAATGGACATTTCTACTGAAAAGTGATTTCTGATTTCGAGAAATCAAAAGCTTTTATTGCTTAAAAAACTTAAAACATACTCTTATATGGTAGTTTTTATTAAATTTCCCAGTAGCTTGTACTCTAGAAATTTTTTAAATGAGCAAATGTATATGTTAATATACAAAAAAAAGTCTATCCTCCTGATTCAGTTCTCCTTGAGGACAACTGTTAATCAGTTTCCTGGATATCCTTTCAGAAATATTCTATGCAGATGTATATATCTAATTAAAGATATTGATAGTACCGTTACATCCTGTTCAGTATTTTGGATTCAATTTTTATTTTAAAATTTGAGATTATGGCTGGCTCAGTGGTAGAGTACTTGCCTAGCATGTGCAAGGGCCTGGGTTCAATCCCTAGTACCACAAAAACAAACAAACAAAAAAAACAAATTTGGGGTTACAAAACACCCAAGCAGCGTAAAAATGAGCCCCACCCTGTAGTCCATCACACAGATTTAATAAATCATAAACTTTGCGCTCGCACTTTGTTTCGAGCTGTCCTGGAAGTAGCCCCATGGAAATATCCCTGTAGCTGTGCAGGGGTTCAGTTATTAGTTGAACGGTTGCACTCACCAGTCTTTATTAGGCTTGTCCCCAGCTCTGGGACAGCTCTAGCATATTACTGATTGTTGTTTGTTTATATAATTGATGTGTTATGCTGCATTTTGTATGATGTCTCTCTGGGGAGGCATCCAGGCAAAGGATAACAAGGCTTGGCTTTGGTTCAAATGCCTGTCCCCCACACTTACCAGTTCTGTGATGTGGGGCGAGTGAAGGCTCATGCGCATGCACCCCCGCCCCTAAGGTGCTGGGGATCAAACCCAGGGCCTGGCACATGCTAGGCTAGCGCATCCTCAACCCAGGTTAGGTATTTATTAATCTTCATTTTCCTCATCTGTAAAATGGGATGATTGTCATAATCTCTCGTTTTATAGCTGCTGGGAGGGATAGAAAATTTAAGTATGGAAGCGTGACACAAAACTTCCTCCCCCAGCCAAAAGTAACTAGTGCCTGGTGACTCCAGTTTAATCTTAAACTACAATCTGTTCCCCGCCCCTTTCCCGTGGTCACGTTGGGGGCGGGGCGGCTAATTATCTCTGTGACGTCAACGCGCGCAGGACCAATCTCCCCACCTGGTAGACGTTAGCTCGTTTGCATGGATCGCCCCTCATTGGTCTGTTGGGCAATCTAGGCCGTCCCACTAAATTAAAGGGGCCGCACAGTATAAACAAGGAGATGTGGGGCGACCGGATCATGATGTCATCGCGGTGCTGCAGCTCTTGGAGGTGACGTCATTCTGGGAAGGTTGCTGGCCCGGGGCTGTTGAAGCATCCTAAGTACTCGATCCGGCTGTCCCTGTCCCATTGGAGGTCAGCCCCACTGCACTTCAGTGTCCGAAGCGGCACCTGGTCCCCAAGGAGGTGACCATGACACAGTAAGTCTGGGCTGCGGCTCTGCTGGCGGGACTCATTTCTCCCGCAGGGAAACTAAGCCTCAGAAGCGCGAGTAGTTAGCGAGTTTGCATAGCATGTTTGAGTTGCTGCTCATCGGTCTTGTGCACCCCGAGGTCTTCAGCTTTTTATCAGGCTCTGTTGCCCCGCCCCTTGCCTTTAACAGTGGCTGCTGCGGTCGCTTTAAGTGCGAAGGTGGAAGCGAATAAGAGATTTAAAAAAAAAAAAATCTTGTCTTTCAAGATGGCGGTCCGCCAGTCACGTGCCTGGCTGCGATGAGTGATTGGCTTTCTGGGCTGCCATGGGGAGGAGCCCCTGGCGTGGGGCGGGGCCGCCGCAGGCTTGCAGCCGGCTACTGTTTGCCTAAATCTCCCGGCGCGCCCCCGCGAGCCCCCCTCCCACCCGGCGCGCGACCCCGCCGCTTCGAATGTTGTGAATCAAATGTGGGGTTTGTTACATTCCGCTGCCGCCGCGGCCAGTTCTTAAAGGGCCAGCCGCCGGCAGCCGCGCAAACCAACTGCGTCCTGCGCGTCCCTCGGCTCCCCTAGGGCCTGGGCCAAGAAAGACCGACCGCGCTTGGGCCTCGCGAGGCGGACGCCGTCCGGCGGACAACAAAGAGAGAGGGCCCCGGAAGGAGCCGGGCTGCCCCCGGACTGGGGGGTGGGGAGGGGAGCACATTGTTCCGCAGGGCGGGGACTCTTAAAGGGTCCAGGCAGCCCCCCCCCCCCCGCCCCCCTGCCCGGCCTAGCCTTTCTAGATCGCGAACAAAGGAGTCACCGTGTGGCCGGGCGGCCGAAGGTGAGTCAGGGCCAAGGCCCATAACTCCCGATTCCCGCACCCCTGAAACTCAGTTTCTTTCCCCGGGGAATGGGGTTAGTGATCCAGCTGGCTCTGCAGGGGTTAATCACGGGCGGTAGGGACTGGGAGCAGCGAGACCCCTGAGATCAGGGAAGCCCCCCTGCGCCCTCCAAGGCCGGGCCGGGTCTCCCCTCTCTAGAGGTAGAGCGCTGCGGTTGGAGAGGAAGGAGCCGCCCCCTCCCCCTGCGGCCGCCACTTCCTTTGTTGTTGCTTTTGTCTCACGCCGAGCACATGGTCCAGGATCCTCAGCTCTTAAAGTCACAGCGCTCCGGCCCCGGCGCTGCAGTCGGGCCTCCCGCCCCTACTGTCCCTCTGAGCGTGGCACAAAGGAATAGGAAAGAGACGCGGGAGGCCGCGCTCGGGGCAGGTATCCGAGTCTCAGATCTCTACCCCATCCCCAGGGATGGCTGTGGAAGGTTCCTGGAGCCCCACGACTTGCGCCTGGCCAGATCTGGAGAGGAGCCTGCCCCTTAGGGACCCGGGCTTTCCTCCCCCTTCTAATATGACCTCCAGTTTTCTTGTCCCCTGCGGCCTTTGGGTGGCATTCCGGGGAAGAGAGATTTCTACCCCATTTACAGTTGGGGCTGCTGAGACTTTCAGAAGCTAAGGGATTTCCTTGACCAAGGTCACCCAGAGAGTATGAACTAGCCAAAGACTTATGGCCCCGCGTGTGGTGGTCCCGCCTTCAACCGCCTCCAGGCACCACACGTTGGAGAGCTCCTCTTTGGAGTGGGGGTGGGGCAGGAAAGTAGGGTAGGGGCTTCTGTTCCTGCCTGAGTTTACTCATTCTCCTAGGGTCTGATTTGCTCATCTGCAAAAGGGTGTCTTTCCTGCAAGCAGACCCCAGGTCCAAAAGGCTTGGGCTCCTTAAGCAAGGGTCAGGGTATCTGCATGGGGCCATGGACTGAGGGAGTTGGCTGACAGGGAAGTGGGTGGATGTGGGAGTGTCAGTGCAAAGTGAGATACCTGCTTCTAGGCAAGGTTGGATTTAGAAAGGGGACAGTCAATCCATTTACACTAACGTTTTTGAAAGCAGAGCGTTAGTGTGGAAAGGCAGAGCAGTTAAGCTGGCCACCCTTGCTGTTTGACCTTGAGCAAGTTGCTACCTCCAACTCGGCCTCACTGGTTTCTCTCCACAACAATGCTACTCACAGGTGCCTGAAAGACAGTGCTTTCTCAGCCTCTTTTATGGCTTGGAACAAAATCTTCCTTGGGCTATTGATGCCAGTGAGAGAAAGGAATTGAGAGAGTCTGAGCATAGGGAGCCAGTGAGGACCAATTGTGTTCCTCAGGTTTTGTGGCCTATATCAAGTTTCTTCCTGTCTCTGGGCCTCAGTTTTGTCAACTGTGCAGTGGGTGTGTCCCCTTTGCTGCCTGTGTTCCTTGTGCTTAAAGTAGTGCCCTCTTTCTGCTTGGGGTTTGGGGATGGAGGTCACTGTATCTTATTTTCTGATAATGATCATTCACACCCAAACTGAGTTCAAACTTTACAAATCACTTGTACTGCAGTCCTTGAGGAGCCTTGGGAGGCAGTTAGTGGGTTGTTCCCCTTTTAAAGATAAGAAAGCTAAAGCTCAGAAAAGGGGAAGCCATGTACCTAAAGTCTTCAACCAAGACTCCAGCAAGAAGCTGGGGGTGTTAGGTATGGGGCTGTGATGGCTGACGCTGTCTGTCTGCTGGTCTGGTTTCTCAGCTCCTTACTTACCTTTCCTGAGGACTAGGTGCCTTTGTCGGAGGTCTGGCCATGGAGCAGATTCCCACAGACCGGTCTTTGTGGGATTAGCACCCATGAGCAGTTGAGGCCACTGGCCAGTACTGAATTGATGGCTAAACATGGGTGCTTTATGGTCAAACTGGGTCATGCCTCAGTGTCCTTACCTCCAAAGGTTGTATGGGGACTCATCAAATTGGCACATGAGAAATGTTATAATTCTTATTGTTACTATTTCTCATTGGCAGAACTGTGGCTCCCTAGATCTCTGGAATCAGCTAGAGCAGAAGTTCCAAACCTGACTGTGCCATAGAAATTGCTAGGGAATTTGATAAAATGTAGGTGCCCATGTTCCCTGAACCTCCAAAGAGGGTCTGGAATGGGCCAAGAGTTTGTTGCTTCAGTTATCTGTGTCTCCCTTGGCCCTTGTTTGCTTGGTAGATGGATAGCAGGAAATAGGAGGGCTATGTATATACATGTGTGGTAAGGATGTGCCCATGCCCAGAGTTCACAAACACTGTCGTCTATGGTGGGCAGGCAGAAAATGGGCTAGAGTGGCTTGGAGAGCACATGAGGAAGGCGTGCAGAAATAAGGCCCAGTGGGACCGAGTTTCTCACTTTTCTCCCCTCCCCTGAGAGGTTTTTTTTGTAATCTCCTGGTTTTTAATCACTGGCACTAATATCATCACTGCCAGACTATGTGGCCTTGGACCTGTGTGTTTGACTTTCTTCAGTGCACATTTATAACACCTGCCCTGTGCTAGACACAGAGTGGTCACTGCACCCTGTCCATACCCTCCTCTGAGTGCCATAGCTCTTGAGTTAGGGGAGAAATGTGAATTCCAACCTATATACCTCCTGCCTGTGTGGCTTCAGCCAGGCACTGTCTGTGAAGTGGAGGTAATAATTCCTAGGAAGGCTCATTTTCAGAATTAGGGCCCAAGCTTGTAGAGCCCAGCACTGAGGAAATGGTTCTTGTAGCTATTGGCAGGAAGAAACAAGATGTTGAACTGACAGTTAACACCAGTTCCCTGGCTGTGTTATTGACAAATAAGGAGGTGACATTTCAAGTTGGGTCTCAAGGATGTATTGGAAAATTGTTAAATGGAGAAGCGGTAGAGGGGGTTTCCCTGTGGCAGGAACAGCAAAGGGCTGGCCCTGTTTGATGTACTCTTCAACTTTGCAGGACCCGACAGGTTCTAGAGCTTTCCCTGCCAGGGCCTTATCCCAACCTATGAAGTTAATGAATGGAAGCCTGGGATTGAGCCAAGTCCCTCAGCTTCCCCCACCTGGGCCCCCTCTCTGACTCTGGGGAGGAGGTCCCGCCCCGCCTACTCTTTCTCAACTTCCTCTCTCAGGGTCTTGCTTCCCTTTTTTCCTTAGTAGGCCCCACGTTCCACTTTGGGGGCTGTGTTAGGACCCCCCACTTTTCCCCAGAACAAGGACCTATGCCAGACCCAATAAGCTATCAGTAACCACTCAGATGCAGGAACAGGCTTGTAGTGGCCCCTTTCCTAGCTTTAATGCTTACTGTGGGGTCTAGGGCCAGTCCTTTCCTCTTGCTGATCCTTGGTTTTTCTCCTCTGCCAAATGCTCTAACAATACCTTTCTTGAAGAGTAGATAGATTAAGTCACACTGGGGTGGCACTGTGGGAACTGGTCAAGGAAAGAAAACACTGCTTTGCCTGGAGCTGAAAACCCCCAGTGGCAGAAAACAGGTTGGAACCTCTTACCTGGTGATAGTGGGAGGAGAACTGGGTTCCAGGTCTCTTTGGGATCCCTTCTGAGCCAGCCAAATGGAAGGGAGGGTGTTTGGAGGCCAAGCTGCAGCCCATGGCAAAAGGAAAGGGAAGGTCCTGCCCAAGTCCTCATACCAGGGGTCAGTACCCAGGAGCCCTGTCCATTAGGATCCTTGCTGGAACCAGCTGGCCCCAACAAGTGTTAGCCAGAACTCTGAGGGGACTTGATGCCATTTCACAGAGCTGGAAGCTGAGGCCTACTTCCTTACAGGCAGAGCCTGTCCGTAATCTGTCATCCCTGGCCCCCAGGGTCCAGAGCAGGCCACTCTGAGGGTGCACATGGAGCCCAGGAGCATAATGAATATCACTGGCCCCTGCAGACATATTGCAGTGATTCAATTGAGTCTCCCCAGCCTGTAATGGGGCCAGTGACTGGACTTATCCACACCTCAGTATCTTTGCCTCCTAGGGTTGTGAGCCCTGGCCTAGCCCCTCCAACCCACTGTTCCCCTGATGCGACCATGGGCTCTGGCAGTGACTAGGTGGCCACCCTCTATCCCTGTGGGTCAGCGGCGATTCTCTGCAGGACCTAGCAGCACTCCAGGCCAGCTCTGGGGAAGGTAAGAGGGTATCTCCCAGGCCTGGTATTGAGGTGGCCAGCTTGACTAGGGCCTGGGGTTCCAGAGGGGTGGGGCCCAGGGTCCCAAGCTATCTTCCCTCCCCAGTGGGTGTACAACCCTGGCTTCTCTCCCTGCTCTGTGAATGAGTGGCACCCCTTCAGTCCTATGGGGCCTCCTCTCTGTGGTGCAGCCCCAGCCACGAGGGCCCCCTGGCCAGCCCACCTGCCCAGGATGAGCGCTTACCCTCCCAGCAGCCGCTGCCCCGACCACCACACCTCTTCTTAGAGGAGCACCGAGCCTCGGCTCCTGCCGGCGGGAGCCCACGAATGCTGCACCCAGCCACCCAGCAGAGCCCGTTCATGGTTGATCTCCACGAACAGGTAGGCACAACACTTGCCCACTCCCCCAGCCTTTGACAAACCAGTCTTAAGAAGCAAAGGCTACAAAACCCTGATTTCATCTTGCTTAACTCATTACATGGTTGTGGGAGACATTATTAGCCTTGTTTTACAGGTAGGTAAACTGAGGCCCAAACAAAGGCAGGGCTTTCCCTGGGGCCACAGAGTGAATGACTGAAAGAGATAGGTACCCTTCCTGAATTCCTAGAGGTCCTTCCCTGGGGTCCCTGGGCCAGGGAATAGTCTGGTCTGTAATTGGGTAGGTCCCTAGCTGAGAAGGGACAGGAACCTGGGAGTTGAGCCTGGCAGGACTTTTTCTCCTGAGGGTAATCTGAGTGGTGGGGCCTCCCTATAGTTCCCTGGCTCTCTCTCTACTCACAGGTGCACCAGGGACCTGTCCCTCTGTCCTACACAGTCACCACAGTGACCACCCAAGGCTTCCCCTTGCCTACAAGCCAACACATCCCTGGCTGCAGTGCCCAGCAGCTCCCAGCATGCTCCGTGATGTTCAGTGGGCAGCACTACCCCCTCTGCTGCCTCCCACCCCCGGTGAGTGGGTGCTTTCTTCTCCTACCCTCACCCCGGTTTCAAGCAGCTATCTTCCCCAGGACAGCTACGCAGCAACCCTGAACTGAGCTGAGCTTCCCGTGTTCCCCCAGGCTGTCACGGTTCCAGTCCGTAATCCTGAAAAGAAGTATCAAAGCATGCTCACTGGTAGTGATAGAGCGTTTCAGGTTCAGGGAACTCCCTGTACCCAGTGTCTTACATTGGCAGAGGTGCTAGAGTGAAGGCTGTGGGTCTTTAAAATACTATGTCCTCCTGGGAGCCTAAGACAGAGATGGGACTTCTAGATCCACTGAGGCTACTGGGTTTGTATTACAATGAGGATCTTTAGCTGGATGGAATAGCCTGTGGCCCTCATCACAAATTAAGGCCTAGCCCAGAACCTTCTCCAGCCTCCCCCTCCCCTTACCCCTCTCTCAGCAGCTGATCCAGGCGTGCACCATGCAACAGCTCCCTGTGCCCTACCAGACCTACCCCCACCTCATCTCCAGTGACCACTACATCCTGCACCCGCCACCGCCAGCCCCTCCACCCCAGCCCGCCCACATGGCGCCTCTTGGGCAGTTTGTATCACTGCAGACCCAGCACCCCCGTATGGTGAGTCTTGGTGTTGTGTCTGTGCTAGAGGGGGAGAGTAGAGGGGAGGGTTGGGCATGTGAGTCTTGGGGTTGGGTCTGTGCTAGAGGGGGGAGAGTGGTGGGGAGGGTTGGGCATTTCTTTTATCACTTCTGTGACTTACCACCCCTACCACTTCTAGCCCTTGCAGCGGCTCGATAATGATGTAGACCTGCGTGGGGAACAGCACCCCTTGGGTGGCTTCACTTATTCCACCTCTGCCCCAGGCCCAGCCTTATCCCCCTCAGTACCCCTACACTACCTGCCCCATGATCCATTGCACCAGGAGCTGTCTTTTGGGATGGTAAGTGCCAGCCCCACCTCCCATCCGGGCTCTGGGGCATTCAGGAAGCAGGCCTGCAGGCTGACCTATGTCCGGCCCCCCTCTTGCAGTCATATTCCCACATGGTGCCACGAAGACTGAGCACCCAGAGATACCGCCTGCAACAGCCACTGCCCCCACCGCCACCGCCACCGCCGCCAGCACCTTATTACCCAAGCTTCCTGCCCTACTTCCTGTAAGTACCAGCACATCTGCCCCAGAGAGCTGTGATACCCCATTGTCCTGGAGACCTTAGGTCCTCCGAAGCCATCTAGTATCCCCAGCAAGCCACATCCACACAACACTCTGTTGAGTTCCCATCCTAGAACAAGCATCAGGGTCCCCGTTGTAAACTGTGCAGAGCTGTGGACTGTTCATGGAAGAATTAGAGGAGCAGTTCTGTGCTCTTCCCGCCCCCACCCCATGTTAACCTTGACTTTGGGACCCCATACCTTCCTTCTCTAGCTCGATGCTGCCAATGTCACCAACAGCGATGGGGCCCACCATCAGCCTGGATCTGGATGTGGATGATGTGGAAATGGAGAACTATGAGGTTCCGTGGCTTCCCGTGCTGGGAGGTGGGGTTTGGGAGACCTCCAGCCCTGAGTGCTACTGACCCTCCCCTTCTGCCTTTATCTAGGCCCTTCTGAACCTGGCCGAGCGGCTGGGAGATGCCAAGCCCAGAGGCCTCACCAAAGCAGACATAGAGCAGCTCCCATCTTACCGCTTTAACCCAGACAGCCATCAGTCAGAGCAGACACTGTGAGTGCCATACCACCATCTCTTGCCCCTGAACAACTGGGCTGCAGTTGAGAGTCCCTTCAAGGAGAATTATACTCTGATGAGCCTTCCCTCAGCCATCATTGTGCAGCTGAGTGACACTGTGCTCCTCTCCAGGTGTGTGGTCTGCTTCAGTGACTTTGAGGCGCGGCAGCTACTCCGAGTCCTCCCCTGCAACCATGAGTTCCATACCAAGTGTGTCGACAAGTGGTTGAAGGTACGGTGGCCCCAGGTATTCCTCCCATGGTGAGGGGCAGGGCAAGCCTAGAGAACTTCTCTTCTTGTCCCTGCCATCATCCAGAAGTTCTGGCTCCGGGGACCAAGTCCTCACCAGGCAGCTGAACATAAAGGGGTGGGACGGAGGACAAGTGAGAGTGAATCCTGACTTGCTGCTGCTCCCCTAGGCTAACCGGACATGTCCCATTTGCCGAGCTGATGCCTCCGAGGTGCCCAGGGAGGCTGAGTGAAGCCCCACAGCTGCCCACGAGAACCCTGCCTGAAGCTCTGGAAACTCGGGGGGACCCAGGGAGGACGGGGAGGGAATGGCCCAGGCCTGCCCCTTCGTTCCCACCTGCATCTCCAGAGCTGGTGCCAGGGTCCTCCCTGTGAGAAGCCCCTGCAATAAGCCCCTGCATTTGCCAAGCTCCAAAGACTACTTCCCTGATCTGCCTGCCTGTCTGCCCGCCAAGGAGCTGCCTGGGTATCCCCAGCTCAGTCTCCCTCCTGTTCACCCTCGGGTCCTTCTTTTTCCTGCTGGCACTGAGAGCCAGGGGTCTGCTCCCCTCTTACGGCTGATAGAGATCCTTGGCCCCAGGATGGGCAACGGGCTCGCCGTCCTGGGTCATCTTGTCTCTTGCGCTGAGCGGTGTGCTCTCTGCCCAGGGGCACTGCCAGGCATGTGGACAGACGGTGGTATGAGACTATTTCCTAGGACCTGGAACTGAGTCCCCCTGCTTGACTCGGGCAGCCAGCTCTGTACAGGTTGCTCTGCAGGGTGTATCTGTGTGTCTCAAGGACCCTCGCCACAGGCGCAGTGATATTCCAGCCCCATCTCCAGGCTGGAGGACAGCCCAGACAGCCCTCCTGAGCAAATGGGAGACAGGCCCAAGCTGGGACACATATACCCTGAGGGGACCTGGGCCACACTGGGCAGGGTCCCTGTACTCCTGGTGGCTGCCCCTCCACCAGCTACGGGGTCAGATCCATGCCCAATCTTCTCCCCTGTTTTGCATGAATGTGAGGAGCAGCAGTTTTTGTTTATTCATTTGGCCCAAAAATGCGTGTAGGATTTGGGGGTGTGGATATTTAAGACATTTTTTTTTTCCTTTTGGTTTAATGGTAGGGGGTGGGGTATGGGGACCAACCAGGACCTAATGCCCAGGGGGCAGAGAAGGGTCGAGTGGTGCCGCCCAGCCTGCTTGCATGTGTGGGGCTGGGCTGGACGGCTGGCAGTCATGGGGCAGGGTTGGGGGGGGTCTGTGCTCAGCTGATAACTGCCATGCACTGTACTGCACACGTCCCTAGAGCCTACTGGGACCGTACGCTTTTCAGGGCATTTCTCCCTCTCCAGCCGGGGACCAGGGAGGGTATGGACCTCCACCTCCAGGGGACCCCTCCCAGCCTGATCCCTGCCCTCCAAGGTCTGGAGGAGGCCCCTGTAGGGTCTGGCTGAGCTCCCCACCTTCCTTCTCTGATCCTGTTCTTTCCTCTCTTACCCTCAGCTGGGGTTGCTGCCCTGAACGAACCGCGTGTGGGGCCGGCACATCCTAGCAGGCAGCCCTTGGCGCCTGCTGCCTCAGGGATGCTCCAACCACCCTCGTTCTCCCCGCAGCTGCCTTGGCTCCCTGCCTCCCACCCGCCCCAGCCTGCCACAGGACCTGTCAGCCTGGTCCTACCCCCATGGAGAACCCAAAGTCTTACTGTATATAACTCCAGGTGACGTTTCTATATTTATAGCAGTGTTGAAAACCCACGTGTTTTACACAAAGAACCACCCTTTCCAAAACCCCCCTCCCTTCCCACCCCAACAAAAGGTTTTCCAAACCCTTACCATTCCTGGGGCAGGCGGAAACAGGCTCACAGATTGTGTGTTGGCTGCAGCAATGATTCCAACAGCAGCTACTGGGGGGGAAACAACATTTTTTTTTTTTTTAATCATAAAAAAAATTTATGAAACAATTATTTAGGATGTTTGTGATTTGCCGACCTTGCTATAGATGCCATGTTACCAATGATTTCCTGTGGTGGGGGCTTGTCATTGTTTACTCTTTTATTTACCAACTTCTGGCCTAGGCATGACAGTGGGCACCTTCCCCCAGCCCTGGCTGGGCCCAGCGCCTGTGTTCTGTGTTAGAAAGGTTTTATATATATATATAGTAACATATATATGTATATATATATATATATATATATATATATATATATAATTTCGGGGGCCCTGTTCCTTGCACATTTTACAGTTACCTCATTTTTCCCATGTATGTATTTGAGAAAATGCTAATATATAGAGGAAAAAAATGGTTCTTAAAGCTTAAATGTGTGGTTTTTTCCATTCCATTGGATTCACATTGGTTTGTAGCATTTAACATAACTAGTATGTTGTATTATATATATGTGTATACTGATTGAAATTTTTAACAGATTTGTACTTTTTTTAAAATGAAAGTTGCTAGTTCTGCTTGACCAAGTAGTGCAATCATTATTTTTTTTAATATTGTTGCTGATTTCAGAGGGATATTCACTAATAAATGTATGATGTATACCAAGTATCCACCAAGCTGCCTTTGGCTACCTGTGTTCTTTGGTGAGAAGTGGCGGATGATGTCAAGCTGAGGGTGTGGATGCGGGGACAAAGATGATCTGGGGGTGTAGAAGAGGTTGTTTTCTGCTGTGGAACTTTAGGGTAGTCAGCAGCACCTCATCAAGAGTGGCCTGCCAAGTCAGTTTAGTGATTACTTTTCCTGGGCACCTGTCTCAAATGTGAATTAGGTGAGATTCTGTTGGCAAGTAACAGGATTCCTTCTACCTAATTTGAGGGGGGTAGGGGGAAATTCTCGTTAGTGGCTCCAACTTAAAATTCTGAGGTGGTGGGCTGGGGTTAGACCTCAGTTGTGGAGTGCTTGACTAGCCTGTGCCATGCCCTGCATTTGATCCCCAGCACCACAACAAATAAAATATAAATGAATTCGAAGATGGTCTTCTGTTACAGCTGCTCAGGCCTGTCCTGAGGGGAAAAGGTCTCTTTCATCTTCTGACTTGGGCATCATCAAATTCCCATAGAATTTCTGGACTCAAGTCTTTTTAGACCAGTTTTGGTTGTGTTCCCAAACCTGAACCATTCACTGTGAGAGGGAGCCGTAATGGCGAGATTGATAGGACTGTTACATGCTGCCCATTCACAGGCCCCAGTGAAGCCACGGGAACTTGTACTCCTCAAACCTAGGCTCAGTGGGGAGGAAGTGCCCGAGACACCTCAAGTGCCTGATAGGCAATGAATTTACATTCCTCTTATCCAGAATGATGTCTAGTGCTGCAGGAATGGTGGCTGATTTATTAGCATGTCTAACAACATGATCCAACATGGTTTAGAGGCGCAGTAGGCTGAGATCTTATGTCTGATGCTACTAACTGGAGCCTTAGTCAGAGCTGCTTAGATTACCTGCAAGTTAGGGGACAATATCATTTGAGTAGTTACCTAAGTATGTTTTAGAAAAAGTCCAGTGGTAGCAATAACGGTTTGTGTATAATAAAAGCAGAAAAATACATAAGGCGCCTTTGGTCAGATAAGCTTGGTCAATTCCATGTTGAAGGCAGTAAGAGTATCAGGGTTTCTCTGAACCAGTATGACTCTAAATCTCCAAGAGTGGATGCTGGGGTCCACATTTCCTATATTGGTGTGTTTGGTCATGAGTAGGGCTCAAATTACATTTCCTGGAGCACTCTGGGACTTAGCAAGTTAGACCAGTAGTAGCAACTAAGTTACCAGGACCCTAGAAGTCTGAGAAAATTGTAAAGTGGGAGGAGTCTCTAAGCTTTTTTCACTATTTCAGAAAACCTAAAGAAAAAAAAAAAAATCACAGGATCAAATCAAATGATATAAAAAATTTTAATAAAATTCCTTATTTATCCATGATAAAAACTCAGCTGACCGGAAGAGTGTAACGTCCTCATCATCCTAAAGGACATCAACAAAAGTCTCTGCAACTTCATGCTTAATAGTAAAACACTAGATGCTCCGCTCTGATTAGGACAAGGCAAGGAAGCCCATCTCACTCGTCCTATTCGACACCATACTGAAAGTCCCAGCCAGTGTAATTCAGCAAGAAAAAGGAAATAAAGTGGGCTGGGGTTGTGGCTCAGTGGCAAAGCACTCGCCTAGCATGTGCGAGGCCCTGGGTTCGATCCTCAGCACCACATAAAAATAAATAAATAAAGATATTAAAAAAAAAAAGGAAATAAAGTTAGTCATACAGATTGGAAAGGAAGAAATAAAATTGTCCCAGTTGGCAGCTGACATGGAAGTCTGTAGAAAATTAAGAATCTTTCAGAAAACCGTCAAAACTAAATTCAGCAGATCAAAATATACAAGATCAACAAAAAATTATGTGAACCGATCCTGGTGGCATGCACCTGAAGTCCCAGCTACTCTGGAAGCTGAGGCAGGAGGATCTCTTGGGAGCCTGGGAAAACATCAAAACAATGTCTCAAATAAAACAAAAAATGTTTCATCCAGGCGCAGTGGTGCACGCCTGTAATCCCAGCAGCTCAGGAGGCTGCTGAAACCAGAGGATCATGTCTTTAAAGCCAGCTTCAGCAATGGCTAGGTGCTGAAAAGCTCAGTGAGACCCTGTCTCTAAATAAAATACAAAATAGGGCTAGGGATGTGGCTCAGTGGTCCAGTCCCCCTGAGTTCAATCCCCGGTACCAAAAAAAAAAAAAAAATGTGTTTCTATAGCTTGCAATGAAAATGGAAATCGAATGCAAAAAACCCCACCATTTCTAATCAAAAGAAAAATAAAATACATAGATATGAATCTAGCAAAATATACAAGATTTGTATGCTGAAATCTTCAAAATACTGATGAAAGAAGTCAGAACTAAATAAGTGTAAACCACATGTTCTTGGATTGGAATAGGAAAATGCAAATTAAACCACAATGAGATATTATTACATACCTATTAATAACAAATATAGTAAAGAGATCATTTCTTCCCAAATTGATCTGTAATTTCTATCAAAATTCCAGGGAATCAGGAGGATTGCAAGTTCAAAGCCAGCCTCAGCAAAAGTGAGGTGCTAAGCAACTCAGTGACACCCTGTCTCTAAATAAAATACAAAAAATGGGCTTGGGATGTGACTCAGTGGTCAAGTGCCCCTGAGTTCAATCCCTGGTACCAAAAAAAAAAAAAAAAAAAAAAAGAATTCCAGGGAAGTTTTTGTTATACCCCTACCCCTGCTTTCTTGCTCGCTCTCTCTCTCTCTCTCTCTCTTTCTTTCTTTCTGATGCATGCTTATTCTAAAATGTATGTGAAAAGGCATACAAAGTAGCTAAAACCATTTCGTAAAACAAGAATAAAGTAGGAAGAAATGGTTTTAAGACTTTAAACCTCACCTAGTTTTAAGACTTACTAGCAGAGCAAGGTA